GGCAGAATGCAGGAATCTCAGCAAGGCATCTATTCCATCGGCAGAACTTCAGACATCAGCAGTGTTCTCCATCTGTGTTATGGCGGGTCATTACATTAGTATTTGCCGCAGAAGACCATGAAGTTGCATGAACATCTGTCATCTGCGTCTGTGACAAGGACACTTTGCACCCGTTCGGATGCCCATGTAATCGTGAGCACTTCGCTCTGAAACGACCTCCTTCCGAGCTACTCCCCTCATCAAGTCCTGACCAACTCAAGTACATGTAGGCATTGTTATTAACTCGACATGCTCCATTGCTCATATTCTTTTCCTGTTTTCCAGCTGACAGGATCGTTGCTAGAAAGTAATYATGACTGCTCACGAGCCTCACACACTTCAGTCCAGCATAGCACCATCATAGCARCTTCACAGACCTCGGTTATCATTTACCACCATCAGTGTGGAGATTATGTGGGGGTCTACTTCCACTATTGAGGGRAAAAAAACAGTCACCAAGCTGGTAAGGATGGATAACTGCATCCATCCTTACCAGCTTGGTGTGGGGGTSTGTMACTATATCCTCCTGCCTTGCCCTTTCACTGTCTCTAAGAATTAGTGTTGTAAAGAGCATGTGTAACACTGTCCCTTCCCTTCTAGCCTTCCCTTCCATTTCTTGCCCTCCCTTCCTACTCGTTATTTTGCACGAGTAATATCCAGCAGTTACAGACCCCTTCTTCCTTGGTATGTAGAGTAAACATGGATGTCAACTGGGCTGCACCAATTACGTGGTTCAGAGATGGGTTTTCCACGCCAGCTAAGATTAATTCCCAGCATTGGCAAACTAAACATAGACGTTTACCTGCATGCCTTGCTAAGATTCCCTCCAGAAAATACATCGAGTTAAAGAACTTATTTCCGTACAGGCTTCAGTGTCCCCACCAACATCACGGAGCCATCAAGAGTAGGGTCCCTCCCTTGGAGGATGCTCTTATCACCTCCAACAGTCAATCCCACCTGATTGTTTTAAAGAAAAATGGGTCCATGATAGTCTTCTAGCATAAGAAAGTCAGTGGCAGCGCCTTGTGAGTCCCCGCAATGCTCACATGAGTCAAGGGAGACATTGTCACAGACTGTTTCTTCAAGCATTTGACTTCTCCTCTGAGATGGACATTAGTCAAACCTCGCAGCTTGCCTACGGCCTTACACATCGATAATCTCTCCCATTGTACCCCACCATATGTAGCCATGCATGTAACATCGGATCACCACGAATGCTATGTTTCAAGTTTCCTGGTTCATGTCATCCATGCATTATCGGAATCTACTGGCTTCTTGGATCTGGTTCATGTCATCCATGCATTATCGGTATCTACTGGCTTCTTGGATTCGCTATTGCGTCTGATCTCTCTCTGCAAGTGGAATGTGCCGCCCATCGCCCTTTCAACACATCTTCCACACTGTCGGTTACTTAGTTGCCAATCAATTCCACTATTATTCATTGGTTTTTCACTAGAAGTTTCTAGAACTGCCCTAAGGCTATTCATTCCCCCAAAACAGCGAAGGATCTATGTGACAGGAGACTTATTGTTTTCAAATGTCTGGCAGCTGTCCGCTGGCCTACCCATGCATTCGAGATTGCATGTCACCGTCAGGCTAGAGGCATGAGGGAAAGATCGAGGCCTTTTCTTTCACCCGTTGCTGCTTTTGGTTTTCGCTGTTTTCTGTCAGCCCCTACACGCTCGCATAACAACCTGTTTTTTTAAATGAAGTTCAGAAGAGAGGAAACGAATAGACCAGTACCTGTCCCTTGGCAATGGCCAATTCTCCGCGTCGAAAGGCAGAAAAGCTGACGCTCTTTGACCTTTTCCTCCCTTCTTCTCAGGGAATGAACCATGAAATCGACGTCGGACCAAAGGTGCAGTTGTGCCAGGGTTGTACAGTTGCACCACTGCAAGGGCACAATGGACTGACTGCCGGACGAGGGTGTGGGATGCCATTCACAGTAACTTCAGTGATAGTGCCTGCTACCGTAATAATGTATGCAAGAATCGATTTAGACCAAGAAGATTCCCAATCAGTAGCTATTCGAAACGTGATTAAGGAACAACCGTTCCCTTCGTCCAATGCATCAGGATTGCACGATCCTATGCTGTGTTGGTCGTTGATGTCACAAACCGACCGTCACGCCTTGCTGTTGTAGCATTTTCCCCGTGCTACGAACCATCCCCTATGACTGGCGAGACCCTCACGTTCATTCGAGCCTCATTCCTCTCTCGATGGCGCATGTCACACGATGGCACGCATGCCTCACGAAGTCGTTCGAGAAAGAACCATGCATGAGTGACTACGTTGATCAGCTTTCGAACGTTGCCTGGCTGCCGTAACCACAGAAATTGAATTGTGCTAGAATTAAGAGACGTGACCTGGATCCACAAACGACGGCCCGGGGTAGCGTTTTCTCAGATCGGTCTGCAGCAGCCTGCAGGTAAGAAAGAGAGGAGGAACGGAACATGTTTGGGAGGCTGCATGGCAACGTCATTGCCACATCTAAAACGCCAAACAACTTCGCCGTCACAGTGCTGATTCACAAACATAACCAGCCGTGGGTTAGAGTTGACGCCTCGAAGGATCAGGTAAGGCATAACGTGTCAAGAACCCTTTTATGACATATAGATTAAAGATAGAAGGCAGTGAAGTAATCGGTAGTCGAGCTTTCATTCCGTGTAAAGCAATCGAAACTTCCGTTGCCGTGACTAGTCCGGAAGAGGCAACTCTCTCTCTCTCTCTCTCTCACACACACACACACACACACACACACACACACACACACACACACACACACACACACACAAACGCACGCCCGCACGGGAGCGTGGATCCTTCTAAGTTAAAGACAAAGCCGTTGGGCACAAATAACCAGCGTCAGAAAGGGTCGAGGTGAGGGGAGAACGCCCATAAGGTGTTCCTCTGAAGTTTGTCAACGACTACTATTCTCATCCCCAAGGACGCTAGAACCGGTGAATTGATCAACCTTTTTCGATCTTCATTGGAGCAATCAACCGAAGAACAACTAGTTAATTAACCAAAACAATGAGAGTATTTGCTGAATAACTCGAACGGACGTCGGCACGGTGTTGACGGATCCGCCACCTAACAATCGAAATTGACACTCGATGAGTGCTGAAGTTTCCTCTGGCCTGAACATGTGGGACATTATAGGTTGTGGCCTTTGTGGGCCTTGTGGCGCCTGATTGACACTTAACAGTTGATTCCGTGACGGATGAGATGATCGCCGCTGTCACGCTGTTATCGGCTAAGAGATTGGAATGCATAACATAACAAACGATTTATGCAACGGTTGAGTTATTTTTGTTGGTTACTGAATCCAATCAATAGCCTGAGTCCAGTACCGCAGTTTCGGTTGTTTGACTGATCAATTTCGGCCGGTGGAATATTCGACCTATACACTCACTCCATCCGGAAATTTCGAGGATGACGACAACCGCTTGACTGCAGAAAACCGGATTCGCCGGCTAAAAAAGAACAGCGAGAAAAGAAATGAGACGCACTCGACCAGACGGCAAAGGACGGCAACGTATACATTTCGTATTAGCATTCCCATTTTATCAAAAGTAATATTCAGTAAACCTGTTAAGGGAAAGGAATACAACACTGGCTGTTGCCAGCGAAAGGACATAAATAGCATCACAGGGGTGGAGTAAGGAAGAAAATTGTTCAAGAAAAGGAGGCGTGTGCACTTTGAAATGATACGTGTCAACGACAACCCGTTACTCTCCACAGGCTACTCTACGCTTTCCTGTGTTTTATTGGGTCGTTATTCATCCTAAGAACCTCCGCCTATATAGTTTGCTAGCTACTACCGAGCTAACGAGACATCCGTCCGAAACGTCTGAATCAATGGATGAGTTCGTATCACCTCTTAGGCCTTATTCTCGACGGCTGCCATTACCTGCCCCATATCTTCATCATAGACAACTTCGAGGGAAACAAACCGCACCTTTACGCTACCCGCTAACGACATCAAGCATTGCCTTAGGCCGATAACCCATTTCTGCCTGGCTAACATTGCCCAGCAAGGGCCTGGCGCGCGCGGAACGTTTAGTACTTGTAGATGATGGCAGCTTTCCTAAGTAAGATCACGACGTGGCAGCGGCCAGCGAAGCTGATCGACGACCGACAAAAGCGCTGCTGCCTCCTGCTGGTGCTCGTTTATCCGTTTCTTTCACGTTCCTGGCATTCGACAATACTCGTCTCCCGCATCGCTTTCGCCGATTTCGCTGGCCCAGATGATACACATCCAACATCCTCGTCGTCTTCCCCGCTAACCAGCTATACTGGTTACACTGGGGGCGCGTGAAGCACTCTTTTACCTGGCGTAGGCACGTTATGAACACTTAACGCAAGTTAACGGCTGGCGTTGTTTCCGGACACGAAGCAAGAAAGGAAGCAAAAAAAAAACAGGATCTGAAGTGCGGAGACGGCGTACATACGCAGGGGGGCTCAGAAGGATATGGTCGCTCTCAAACAAGGATATGCAGAAATTAAAAAAACACGATATGGGGTGATGCCTATGCACAAACAGACAAACAAGAGGTCCCGCGTAAATTGATGGCTGCAGTAGAAATTGGCCATCAACAACTCCACGCACCGAGGTGGTTGCTCGCACTTGCGAGTGAATGCATACAGAACAAATAGGCCACTAACACACGCAGGTGAGCGCGCGCGCGCACACACACACAAACGTGCACAAACACACCCGACAAAGCACGCACTACACGCGCTCACATCCACCCACAACTGGGTATACGGAATACGGAGGAAGACGCGAGGGATAGAAGCCGAGGAAGCTGCCGCAATCGTAGAGAGAAAAAGGGATTTGCACAAGCTTAACCGCATAATCGTCCGTGATGCCCGCGCGGGTTCAAAGCATGTCCTACATATAGATCATATGCGCATCGGTACCTTGGTATGAAGACATTTGCGATAGGAAAACGTACCTCGGACAGCGCCATCCCTTGTTCTTGCCACTAGCGGAAGTGGACATTACCAAACACCATGGGCTCTGGTTGAGCCGCGTCGCAATGCATCTGTGACACCATGGTCCGTGTTTTGCTCCACCTTCGCCCGCCGAAGCCCCGCATGGTATGAGCTGAGATCGAGGCCGCTTTTGCCTGCAGCAATGGCAATGCGTACCTGCTCCACGTGGAGCCGCGTGTCGAAGAGTCGCGGGATCGATGTACGCAACATGTGCGCCGACGGCAATTTTGCCACTCGGAACAGTAGCCTGAGCTTTCCGCGTGGTAGGAGCCATACCTTCCGTGCTCCCTTTCCCGCGATGTCGCTGCTTTGTGTCTCTCCGCCTTCGCACGGCTGCTGGTCCTTTCAGACCTGGCGCCGTCTTCCTTCCCACGATCGGTTCCGTTTTGACTCTCGGCTTCTTCGCTGCCCTTGAGGAGAACTGCCGATGCGCAGAATCGGTAGACGACGACTTCAAAACCCCGATAACGACTGACGAAATGTCACCTGATGGTCCGTACATAGCTCAACAGTCACCCTGAAAGCAGTTCAGACGATCCATCGAGCTTTTCCACTAATCAAATGGCGTTCACGCGGCCAGACCTCGTTCACTCGCACGAGCAAAGTCGGGCAGTAAGAAGCGCTCTCTATATTCACAAGCCGACCAGCTTAGAACAGCTCTGGAAACCATGACAGAACTTTCACCTAGTCGAGTATTTCCCGCGCCACTGCCTTCGTCGCACCGTTCTCACATCGCAACTGGATCCTTCAGCGTCAACGCACCTCTTCCATCACGCCCCGACGAGCGATCAGAGCGAAGGTGATAAATGGCATATCGATTCCGACGAAACGCACAACAAGAACCATTGACAACCCCAATCGCCAAAACAAGCGACCAAACTCACTGATCACCAAGTCGTTCGAGCAGAGTCGATTGCAATTGAACTTTTCCGTGGTGGAATCTCGGAGACGTATAAATTAGCACCAACCTCTACCATATATATTCCAACCTTGTTCCTCGTTCCTTTCCTGCTGCTGCTGTTTCTCTTTTTCTCCTTCTACTCCTTCCTCTTCGCTGCGTTCCTCGTCTTAGCCTTTCTTCCTTTCTTACTCTTCTTTACGCAAGCTCTTGCCACGCACAGAATATCAACTACTTCTTTCCCTTATTGGCAAGCAGCCAAAGATACTCAAATCTGCCAACAGGACTACTACAACACGAGGCAACATCTCACCGAAAGTGAACATTCCATCAGTACCGAGCACATCCAAACTCGCCCCAACTTTCCCATGACGCCTTTCGCATCTCCCTGCTGGTCGATCTTCCTGCAGTGTACCTCCCACGTTTGCTTTGGGCATCCATCCCTCTTCCGTGGCCGTCTACGTTCTCTCTCTCTCTCTCTCTCATTCGCACTAGCTCGCTCTCGCCCCAGTGCGCAGTGGGTTAGATCTTTCGGTTAGATCTTTCCTAAAATAGCTCGCGTCTGAGACAGCGCTTCGATCGGTCCCTTGGGATAGACTACTTCTCTTGCAGCACCCATCATTTTAACAAATAATAATGATGTCGGGTTCAAGACCGGCTTTCCCTCCTCGTGATTCGCGCCAGTGTGCTGATTGGCCTGCAGTTGTGAGTCCGAAGGCCTCCAACCGGTCCGTGTCTGGACTCTACCAACTTCTGTGCCAATAATGATGTCGGGTTCAAGACCGGCTTTCCCTCCTCGTGATTCGCGCTAGTGTGCTGATTGGCCTGCAGTTGTGAGTCGGAAGGCCTCCAACCGGTCCGTGTCTGGACTCTACCAACTTCTGTGCCTCTCTGTACGCTCTACTGAACAGCGGCCAACCACACCGTATTGGAAGTGCAATCGGTCTCAACACCACTACACTCCCCACCAAACCAATAAACGGATCACAAGCTGGGAAAAATCTCTCACTTGCATGAAGGCGAACTTTCGTCAGAGGCACGAAAGGAAAGATGTCTTTCCACTCGCGATTCCCTTCAGAACGCCACAACCATCGTGGACCGGCTGGCTTGCCTGGTCCATCATCGTGCCTGACCAGTTCCCTAGTCCAACTCCCGATGATAGCCGATTCCCCCTATCGGATGTCGGCCTGCGTACGAAAGCAACCTCCATCCACCCGTTCTCTCTCTCTCTCTGTGTGTGTGTGTGTGTGTGTGTGTGTGTGTGTGTGTGTGTGTGTGTGTGTGTGTGTGTGTGTGTCTGTCTTTATGTGTGTTGGGGAGGGGGGTGGTGGATGGATGCGGTTACCACGGCTGCGACGATTTTGCCTTCAATTCATAAGAGGGGAAGTGGAGAACGCGGTCTCATTGCCGGGACGGGATGGTTGAACGGAACCGTGGCCGAGGAAGGGAGGGTAAAAAGCCCAGAAAGACGATGCGAAGCGTACCGGCTACACTATCGGGAGAAGAGTTTGCACTGAGGAAGTAGAGAGCCGTAGACAGCATAGGTGCAACGTGTAGAAGAAAAGAAAGCATACATAGCCGAAACAAGGCATATAATAGAATATCGGCGAATATTGAATTTCGCTACAACTCCACGTCCAAGACGCACGCAATCACTACTTGTTCAGACATCCCCTGGCCGTGGTACAACGGCTGCTATTTGCTAATCCTATTCGCTATTCCTGTTCGGCTACTGCTGCTGCTTCAGCTGTTGCAACGATTGCTATCATGACTCTATCGGCATCAACCTCGTTCGCAGTTCGCATCCTCTTTGTCGACGTTTCCTGCAACTGCAACAGACATTTGCTACGCCCCCTTCCTCTCCTTCGCACTTCTCTAACCTTAACACCTTCTTTCTCCTGTCCCGAGTCAGAAATCTCAGCGTAGTCGATCGGCCAGAGACACTCCTCTGCCTGTGTGTCCAGGTGCACGAGTGCACGCGAGTGCACTGTCATTTTTGCTAGAAGCGACTATAGAAAAGAGCATCGCGGGCACACGGGCCTCCCGTACACAGGCTTACCCACCCCGCCTTGCTGCGTGTCTCGCGGTCATCGATCGATGCCGTTCTCTCCCGTCTCCCTCTCCCTGTCCTGTGCTGCCATGATGTTGGGTTCCTACTGATGGATGTTTGTTTTCGGTAGGCATAGGGGAGAGATGGACGTTTCGGTAGGCATAGGGGGGTAGAGATGGACCGAAACGAGTTGAAAACCCAAAAAAAACTTTCTCCACTTCTGCGCAACGCCAGTCGGCTTCTTTCTCCCAGTCAGGAGGTACCCGGCCAGGCTTCCGTTGTCCGTCCCCGCTGGCCCGGTGGGGTCGCCTCACTTCCGGCTGAAATTTTGATAGCCCATTGCTGCGCGAGGGAGGATGGCCGAAAGATGGACCGTCCACCCGTCCCGACGAAGGCCGCGCAGCCCGGCTTCCACAACCCCCTACAGCCGTCTACCACCGCCCCTCGCACGGCCGCACACCCGACCAGCTCACTTGGAGCGACCAGCTCACCCGACCTCCTCGTGAACCTTGAAGTTGTCGATGCCCCGCATAATCATCACAGCAGTGTATCGACGGCTCACAGCTGTGAATCGTCTTCGGCAAGCCGTACTTTGCCGACAACGCGTCTCCGAACGAAAAGGTACTTCCACGAACGAATGGTTATTGCCCTTTGGGGTAATTTTTCCCATTGGACTCCATTTGTCTGGCAAGAGCGTGCTATTGGCGAAACATCGGCTTTGCGTTTGCCCTCTCGCTACCCTTCGTCGTCGACTCTGCCCGCCGCGGCAACTGCCTTCCTTCTCCTCGCTTGCCCTCTCGCTCTCCCTCCTGGCAAAGCTGCCGGTCAAGTGAAGTTTGTCGTAAGGCCACGCCGACTCAGCCGTTGGGCGCTGAGCTTCCCTCAGGGGCTGCTGGGACAGCAGCACAATTGCATCTCTCTCGACGTGGCCTCGTCGGAAAACTCTTTTCCTCTCCGAGAATGACCCCGATTCCTCCTGGAGCGGGCCTTCCTTCCTCCCTCCGTTCCCCACCTTCCACCCCACCCCCTCCTCTTCACCAGAGCCTGTTCCGAGGCTCCCGTCCGTCCCACTTTATGATGGGTGAGCGGGCGCCGTTCGGCGTCCGACTTGTTGTTTCCTCTGTAGGGAGCTGGCCGACAATGAACGAATACATTTCGAGCCTATCATCACTAGAAATTTCGAAACGGAAAAGGAAGGCAGAGCTGGAATCCAGCTCCTCGAAGGGAAGCAGTGGAGTTCACCAGTAAGCAGGCAGACCGCTTGAGAAAAAAGGGAAAAGGGTCCTCTCCCTCAAAATGGCTCCAAATGAGGGTCACCATGAAGGGCACGAACAGGGCGACCCAAATCTCCAACCTCCGAGCCCCACTGCTGTTATCCCACGTGGTTGCCCCACTTCCTTTCCTGTCGGCTTGTGTTCCATCTGCGAACCAACCGTACTGGCAGTCCGACCTTATGAAACTTCAGGTTTGAATTCCTTCTCTGTTGCGAATAAGGGCCCTCGCCGCACCACCCGGCAAACCCCAACATCATGAATGAATCTGATCATCTACGCGGGACCGAGACATTTGGAACGTTGGCTTTTGGAGAGTGGTGGGGTGAGGCCCTAAGGGGCTGATCCCACCACTACACTACGAATGTAGACGCAAAAACTCACTACGAAGATGTCAGCTGCCTCCCACAAGGCCGACTTCTTCAGTGGTCTTCCTGGACCCGCTGCAAAAAAGAGAAACCAATGTCAGTGACTGCGACTACGTCCTGGTTGGTGTCAAGGGGAATGGAGATAGAGGAAAAATGCAGCAGATGTAACTGGGGGTGGGAAACGAACAGCCATCTATGGCTGTACTGCCCTTCGTCCACCCAACTCTGGGACTGGTGGAGGAATCATTGGAGGAAAATCTCAGGTGATGGGTTTCAATGGACTCATGAGTGGATAATTCAGGGCTTATGACCTGAGGATCAAGACCTTCTGAGAGGGTAGGGATATATAGCCCTGGTCTGTAGAGGTGTGACAATGGATGTGATCTGGAATGCCAGGAACAACCTACTCTTTAGAAAGGAGTCTCAGGCCTTCGCTGAGCAAACAAACAGGTTACTCACATTATTACGACAAAACATTTATGCAGACTGGCAGAGTGTCAAACATCACGGAAAGAGAAGTATGCTGTGGTTCCAGAACACATGGGCATTGGAAGGTAGACTCGTGTCGATTACAGCAGAAGGCAAGCTCTCACTCACCCCTTGGTTGTTACAAGGAAGAGTAGAGCAAAATGTAGGACCGAATTAGGTTCTAGGATGATTAGGTGAAGCGTGGAAGTTGGAAATAGGCAAGTGGGAGACAGAAAAAGGTTTGAGTCTCTATACAACTGAGCTTTCCGGGGGATCGCCGGTAGATTGTAGGCTTTTAATGAATGATTTGTGTATTGTTAAGTTTGTTTTGTGGAGGTGTTATTTAAGTAGTATGAGTCAGGAAGTTGATAGATTTACGAGCTAAATTTTTTTTGCATAGTAAGCGCTACACTTGGTTGGAAATGTTGAATCAGTCGTTGTACTAGGAGATTTTCTGTTTTACACAGGCTAGATCATGGTCGTCTGTAGCAATATTCGGACTTTTGCAGGACAGGGTATGGAGTGTTTGGCAGTAGCTGGGCCCTCATTGGTAGGTTTGTCTAGCTAATAGCAGCTGGAGGTAGGACTGAGTAGGTAATGGGGCCAAGACTAAGCTAAGCCGTCTGATGCTGCCAGGATAACCCCGGGTGGA